TATATATATATACCAACATGTCATAAAACACAACATTTTGGGGAATATAACACAATAGAATGTAAGGCTGCAGATCACTTTTGTGCCTGAAACAGTTTAATAGTCTATTCATAATGTAGGCTGCCAAGCATTTTGGACCATTGCAGATACCCTTGCACTGGATAAAGGGAATAATAATAACAGTAATAATAATAATGCTAAGAATATATTGGTTATTGGTAACACTTGATGATGATTATTTGTTTAATTATATTTAGTAATAGGTGATCCATATTGAAGAATGTGATGACTATGTCTATAAACAAAGAAAAATACTTTTACTAAGAGTGTATACATTCCTTCAGGCATTTAAATGAATGTACTAGACACAAAAGTGCATAATGTTTATGCTGCAGGTTTGGTACTTCTAAGTAACATGAGCAAAGCTCATACTGTACCTTATACCACTTGATTTCTGGCTCTCTGTATGGTATAATGAAATCTTCTATTTCTGGGCACAAGATCTCCTTGCTTTTGCTCAGCTCAGCTTTTTCAAAGTATTTCATCTTGGAGTTATAACAAAATCCAGTATCGTTGTCCCCTACTGCCAGGGATATAGAAACTTTCATGCAGTAAGTGGAGTTCCTGTAAAAATATAAATAACAGAATCTAAGCTTTTTTTCAAGTACATACAGTGTATCCCATATCCCTACTTTACAAAGTTAGCATTTGTATCAGTATGAATGTCAATGATGTCTGAAGGGTTAGAAAGAACATACGATGAATCTAACAATTTCATAGATGGAAAATGCATTCATTCTAAATCTAAAATTATACGCAATACTGTCAACACGGTTTAAGTGCCATCCTTGGCTATTAATACCTAAGCAACAAGGCTTTGCAAGTGATTACAGCTGTACAAGAACAACGGCCTATTTTTATAACCAACAGATGCAAAGTATTCCAGTGAAACAATAGCACCCGCTTCTGCAAACGAGATTAATTAGCATTAACCAAGATTTTAAAAGGACATAGCATTCATTTCTTTGAGTGGATTAAGAAATGACTTTCATTTCATAAGTTGGCTTTTGTCAGGCTGGTATATATTTCTATCTGTCTCCCTAGGTGACCTTTCAGCTTTTCTATTTTATTATTTTCTATTTCTTCCCAGCTAACTTAACTTTTATTTTGGATTACTTTTTGCCCTTCATATCCTTGTTGGCATTTCAATTATCATTTTGCTTTCATATTTTCTTTTATGCTGAATTTTGATGCCTGAATATACATTTTCAACACAATTTGCAACAACCTGTCTTATAGATAACAAATGGTTTAATAATAGGGTCTTGAAAGTTGCCAATACTTATAATTAAATGGCCAAAATTCGATGGAAGTACACGCATCCAGTTTGAAAGGAAAAATCTAGTATATGACTGCTTTTTCATTATAAAGAATACATTTGACCCATGCTGATCTTTTATGTCAGGACAACCTCATATAGGTAATGAATCTCTGTTGCAAACATGTGCACTTGCGCTAAATGCACCTTGATAGAGAACACACATTTGGTTACAATAGGTGCAAGTTAAATCCAGTAATATCTTACTAACCCAAAACAAATATATTCAATGCAAATGTTAGACAAAGCAGTCCATATGTCAGTATGTGCACACTTTGTCTGTGGGGGAATGGGGGAGGGGATGAATGCCAATAATAATTCTATAACTTTCATTCTTGATTTTTCTGGCTGCTTGACCTTGACCCATACAGCTGTTAGAAAGTGGCCAAAGCCATGGCCAAACCATGCTCAAACTAGTAGCCTGAATGACAAATAAACCCTAAACAGATCAGAGATATACCACATACATGAATAGTGTGATGTTCTGTAGATTCATAAGATTCATAAGGAAAACATTTGAGATGAAAATGATTTTACATTTCAACGCCATAAAGGAGGGACTTAATGTGGATTCTTGTTTTCTGACACACATAATATATATTATTTGTTTGTTTTTTATTAATTTACTTTTATTACAATAAAGAACAGCAGCAGAGGGAGGGGGTAATTGTGGTACCACCTCTATACAAGTCAATGGAAAAGTAATGTTTGGTAACCACGTCTCAAATTCAAGCCAATTTTATTAAAGCACTTGAAAGCATGCAGCACTTGACTTAGTTTTCTGAGTATGACACTCTTGTACACAAACACACTGTTGGCACTTTTCCTTCTTTCACATACATAAAAGCTCTCTATCAAAATGTCAGTACTTACATGTTTTCACAGCCACCATATAATTTCAAGCAATCCTTGTCAGTTTGAAACTTTGTGATTCATCAAACTCAGAATAGTTGGACAGCACAGGCTTCAAGTGATGCTAAACTCGGAAGTTATCTTAAAAATGCATTTAAGTACCTTAACTATTAACATAAATTTAACTAATTGGTGCATAATTCAGCTGTAGATCCTCGAATAATCTCTGAATTGGTGATGATACTGTCCTTCCTTCTGGAGGGTGGCTATTTTTATTCCCCATGGTCCCTGAGTGTGTTGTAAGGTAGCCACCATTCCAAGCTGACTCCCATGATGGACTAAAATTTCCTGTTTAGTTTACTAATTTGTATTGAGATTGTAGTCCATCATAGGAGCGATCTTGAAGTGGTAGCTACTTTACAGCACACATAGGGACCATGGGAAACAAACATAGCCACCCTCCAGAAGAAAGAACAGTTTCAGCACAAATTCTGAGATGATTTGACGATTTACTGCTGAGGCATACACAAACAAGATACATTGAGGGCAATTGATCAAAACTGGAGCAGACAAAATATGGAGCAGTTACCAATCAGCTTCCCTGACAATTTGTTCAGTTAAGATTTGAACATGAAAGATAGAAGCTGATTGGTTGCCATGCCCAGCTGCTCCAGATTTTGTTTGCTCCAGTTTTGATAAATTCCGCTCATTGCTGTTAACAGTTAAGGTACTCAAATGCATTTTTAAGATTTAACCCTGGAGCTTAGTGTCACTTTCAGGAAGCTAACCTACCCCCAACATAGGTAAGTAGTTTTGTCTTGCTACACTGGGTTGCAGATAACTTAGATGATGGTTAACCTATTGGGCTTTCTGCAATTATTATTATTATTATTATTCAGGATTTATATAGCACCAGCAGTTTGCACAGTGCCTTACAATATAAGGAAATTACAGTTACAATACAATTCAAGACAAAATTGTCTGCCTGTGAAACCTTACAATCTAAAAGGGAGTAAAAAGTGTTACCAAAGGGTGGAATGAGTTGTTTGAGAAAGTAACAGTTCAGTTGTCAGCTTAAGGCGTGATAGTCTTCCCTGAAGAGATGAGTTCTTAGGGATCACCTAAAGACAGACAGAGTAGGAGGTAGTTGGACAGGTTGGGGTAGGGAGTTCCAGAGAATAGGATAGACTCTAGCAGTCCAGGAGGTGAGCATGGGAGAAGTTATGGAGCAAGCGAGCAGGAGGTCTTGGAGGAGTGGTTAGGGTGATACTTTGAGACAAAGTTGGAGATATAGCCAGGGGCAGAGTTGTGGATGGCTTAGTAAGTTGATTTTAATATTTTGAATCTTACTCTTTGGGCAGTTGGAAGCCAGTGAAGGGATTGGTAGGGAGGGGTTACCGATACTGACCGGTTGGTGAGGTGGATGAGTCTGGCAGCAGCATTCATGATAGACTGAATGGGAGAATAGCCTGTGTAGAGGTAGGTCAATGAGGAGGGAGTCAAGAAATGATATAACAAGTAATTGGATGAGTAGCTTTGTGGTTTCATTGGTTAGGTAGGGGCATATTTTGGAGATGCTATGAAGGTAAAGGTGGCAGGATTTGCATAGTGTTTGTATGTGGGGCTGGGGCAGAGTGAGGGATAGTTGTGCTATCAATCTTAATGGAAAAGTTGGGGAAAGGTGCATAAGGGAAGGAAAAATCATGAGTTACATTATTGAAAGATTGAAAGAGTTTTAGGAAGTGGACTTCTGACCTGAAGAAGAGAGGTTCACTCTCGAAAGCTTGTCTTTTATATATTTTGTTAGTCCAATAAAAAATGTATCATTGCACACTGCAATACTGCATTTTTGTCTTTTTTGACATCTTGTCTACTGGACTAATACGGCTTACCCATTTATATTGCACTATATATATATATATATGTGTGTGTGTGTGTGTGTGTGTGTCATCAGCACAGAGATGATACTGGAAGCCATGCAAGGTTATCAACTGACCGAGGGAGGAGGAGAAAATAATTTAGCCAAGTTGCAGTACCTGCTGTTTGGCATTATCAGTTAAGCTATATCTAAAGCCAAAACATTTTTTTATTATTTTAGGTTTGTCAATTTTTTTTGCAATTTTTTTTTCCCATTGGGTAGGAGGGTAGAATTTCCTGCACTTCCTGCCCCATACAAACAACTTGTTTTTTCAAGTAAATGAAAATCTTTCCAGGAGAAATGAAGTTCCTTCTGAACCAGTTGTCATTTGAATAAGGGTCCCCACTTTAGATTTATTTTTCATTCCTCTCAAAATTTTGGTTTTACCCTTGGTTTCAGTTTTGTTAACAATGGTCACCAGGACATACTGTATATCCCCATTGGGGATAGACAACAATAAAAACCTGACAGATGTTCTCACCCTTCCCTGCTCTACTTTTGTCTTTAAATACGTTCACTGATCTTTACAAATACCTTAATAATCCTGACCTTTCACTACACATTTAGGTACTTACTAAAATGAATAGTGCTACAAAATATTGTTCAACTGTCATCAATGTTTATAATAAGACCTAATAAACAAAATATTGTCAAAACACAAAAAAGATTAACAAATGATATCTTTCTCCATAATTTCTATAATGTAGACTTATTTTGTAAACATATAAAGCTGCTAAATTACTAAACGCTTCTTTAATTCAATTGCTAACAAAATATCTCCATAAATGAGCTTTACTATTTTAAGTGAGGTTTGTCGTTTTGTGTTCTGAGACATAGACTATATCCTGACATGATTCATTTGTGCTGAACTCTCTATGAGGTCTTATTCAGAATATAGAAGCTTGGACCTTCTGCATGAGAGCTGCATAAAAGACTGAAATTTTCTCAAACTGTTCTCTAAATTCACCTGACCCCTAATAGGTTTAAAGTGGAACCTGCTGAGAGTAATAAGGCATTTTACTGTACTCCCTCTTATTCCAGACATCTCTGAACTGACTGCAGATTAAACATCGCTCAGAACTGAATGTTCTGATGTTCAATTTAACCTCATCTGTGCTAGCTACATTTGTACAAATATCAACTCTGGAAGCACAGAAAAAGGATGGGGCATATTTATAAATATGGTGATAAATCATTCCCTTAAAACACATGCACTTGGACGACTCGCCTGCAGTTTGATGACTGCCTTATTTATCTTTGTGGTTTCTACTGTAAGCTTTTTCCTTCTGTTTTATCCCCTACATGTTTTTTTAGTCTTAGTTTAATTATTCATACATGCTAACCAATGTATTGCTTGCCCTTCCCTTTTAGATTGTCAGCTCTTACAAGCAGGGCCCTCCTAACTCATGTTGTAAAGCACTACATGAACTGTTGGTGCTATATAAATCCTGTATAATATAATATTATAATAATAAT